GGGAGCGACAAAGGGTAAAGAGGAAAGTTCCTTCCCGCTCTGGAGCTGTGCAAAAATTAGGGATAGAGCTGTAACACTGCTACTTAGAGTTACTTTAGACTTTAGTTTTAACTTTAGGCCCGAGCTTTTGCAGCATTGGTTCCTGTGCTGCTGCGGATTCGCTCCTCTCCCCCTGGATCTGCCTATGTGTTAAGGTTTGTTACGAAGAGGTTCCCTCATGCATCTGGAATGCACTTGTAATAGGGCCTCCTGTCATAAGTTTCACAGCTCTGATCGGTATCTCTTTCTGTTACAAATACGTACCAGTTTTTGTGCGGTGGCCGTTCAACTGGTCCTTTCCTTTTCCGCCGAGTCATTTATTTATAGTAAAGTGACTAATAATAATAGTGTGTATAAACAGCAAAAGTGTATTAAACAAATAATAAGATGCAAAGCTGCTGGCTATGAACAAAGTGAACAACCTGGGATACCTGGGACAAATGTTATTTCATTGCCCGGAAGCACACCTGCTGCAACTGGCAACTTTTCCATGAACTGTGAACTCGCGCTTTCTGGCTCACCTCACTTTTCCATGCTTTCGAGTTAGTTGAACAATCCAGTGTTCGGCCACCTTTCTGTTATTGTTCCACATAAAAAAGCAATGAAATACATCTGAAAGCGTTTAAATAAAATCTTTTTTAAAAAAAAAAGGTATTACAAACCGTTAAAAAGAAGGCATTTGGTCTTTTGCAGTAGACGCGCTGATGATTTATCTCTCACTGTGTTACAAACAATGGCCTCTGAGAAATGAAACGAGCAAAAAAGGAAGGATGTGTGCATGATTTTCCTAAATTCCAGAGAACGAGATGTGGAACCAGCATTTTTGTCGACGGCAACGCAAAGGACAGTGGAATATATGCGAGCACGGGAAGAGGGAAGAATTACCGCATTTCCGCTTCCCGACCAAGTGTCTGCTACACAAAAGTTTGTATCTCTTTTTTATACCAAGAACGCCAAGACTGTCCAGCTACGGGTATAAGTCACCCATTTCAGTGATTTTACTGAAATGTCCTTAAATTCCGAGCTCCGACGTGCCAGAATTTTCGAACGTGCGCTACATTCCTTCAACTGGTACCCTGCGTCTGTTCGATATATGTGCGCTCGCTCCTTGAGGACCGTCCAAGTGGTCGTTTATGTTCTCCCTGACAGCGTTTTTCCTTAAATACTATTAATAACGGGAAATGAAGAACTGTAGGTCTTGGGTCATTTTCATTTTCCAAAATTTCCCAAGATTCATATTTACGGGATATTTTTTGAAGCTTTTTGTGCAGCTCGTCATGCCCGTGCCCATTAGCCTATTACGAGCAACTTTTTTTTAACGAATCTCTTACGTATTTCCGATATTTCGTCTATCTTCAACCAGAAATTCTCGTATTTGCGATTCCGGAAGAGGAGAAAAAGACGGAAGGATAAGGATTGAACTTGTAACTTCAGATGATTGCCTTCGAAAAAAAACCAAGCGAGATTAAGTCCGAATGAATTACCGATGACGTTGATAATGATGACGATACTGATAATCACGATTTCGGATAGGGTAGAAATTAATGATAGTGACGACAATGATGATGATAATGATAGTTGCGGTCGTGGTCGTGGTACTGCT